CTTTTCCTGTCTTTACACGCACGCTTAATGTGATCCTTAAGGTTCTTAATAAGTCAGAAGTGGTCAGACTCAAAATGTTTTCCCAAGACTGAGAGCGCTCTCTAGTGGCAGATCACTGAATACAACGTCCACGTTCTCACTCCTGGTTTGTCTCAGAAGGTGGTAAACTCTCAACATGTATTTGACATTTACCATGAAGCTGTGTAGTCAGAGTGCCCACATGGCAAAGAGTTTATGTGCAACTCTGGCAGGCTAGCATCCTCAGCGTGGACATAGTTTGCACATCCAATTGAGGAACCTGCTTTAAACTGATGGGTGGTCAGATCAAGTCCTGGTGCTTCCATCAAAGCAAGCACCAACACTTGTAATCAGCTGCTCAAAAAAATTAAAGAAAGACTTTGAAAACACGTGAGGTCACAAAAATAATGCTGAATAATGTATTAGGAACAAAAGGATGCCACATCAATTGTCACCCTGCAGATCAAAGTGACAAAATGATGCGGCAGGCGGGTCCCTTTTGCAAATATTTCATTGCAGCATCTGTGAATGGTACTCACAAGTTTGTTTGACTTCCACGTGCCTGTATGCATGTCTGACAACATCAGGGCATGCTCCTAATGAGAAGACAGATGGCGTCCAGGGAGATCTCCCAGATCTGGATCAGGGTATCACTGAGCTCCTGAAGCTTGTGTCGTTTCTTTGCATCCATCTCTCTTTTTTTGTGGTAGGTGAATGTAGTATTATTTGAGTGTTGAGTGGTGGATACACACCTTTGTGAACTTTTAACACACATGGAGCTGATGCCTGGGAAAGAATGCATGGAGCTGCAGTTTTCTACTGGTCCAATCTTCTTCTCGTTCTCATGCTCAGCTGTTTGAGAGGTGACCTTGTTTCTTTCAGTGTCTCTTTGACTTCTCACGGTCTGATGAATGAACAGAGTGAAAGATAGGACTGTAGGTGATCTCAGCTTCATTCAACACAAATGTATAAAGGTCCTTGAAATTCTTGTGTTGTGCTTACACTTTCTGTTACTTGCCAGATTTCAGATTCCAGTGGGAAGCTTTCCAGTCTGGCAATTAATGAACAAGCTTGTGATGTTTCTCACAGTTAGTCAATGTCAAGCCCCTTGACATGAAGCAGGGCATCTTAACAGACAGTTAAGAGTCAGCACAGAGAGTCTAAGATGTTTCAGAGTGCTTAAGCATTCTTTGCTTAAATTCTAGGCCACTGGGTGAGTCTCTGAAAGCTGTCTGAGTGTCAAATATCTTGCTAAAGCAACAATTCAGGCATGCTAGTAGGCTTCATTATCATTTCTGTAGAAGGTAATGTCCATTTATTTTTTCAGTCTGAGTTATTCAACTGGAGTGATTGTAATTTCATTAATGAGGAGGATAAATACTGCAATACTCTCATGAAAAAGTGTTTGAATGGAGTGGTTTTGAATTGCTCTGCAACTGGAACCTTATTTAAGGTGACCCAGTTTGGTAACACCTGAGCAAAGGTGGAAACATCTACATGAGAAGGTGTTGGTATTGTTGTTACTAGCATGTTTTTTGCATTCATGTTTCTTTGTTTTTAATGTGCTTAATGTAGCATATAAAACCACAGTTTTGTCTCATATTTTATTACAATGAGCACAGAACACTTATCAAATGTTTAAACTGAGACATTTTACTACTTCATGGAAAATATTAGCTATAATATTAGTCTCAAAATACTGGAGGAACGTTTTCCGACTTATTAGTTTCACTGGCAACAGGTCAGTGAGATGATTAAGTATATAAATGGTGTCTTAGCTCAATTCTAAATCCTACATCTCTGACAGTATAGAGTTGTATTAGTGCCATTAGTTTCCACATCTGGAAAGCCATCATTTGTGATGAAGAGAAAAAAGCATTTGCCTCCTTCCCTGAGTTCTTTGTTTCTGTATTTATCACACTTTAATGTTTCAACACATCAAATAAATTTTGATATGAGATTAAAAAACGCTTAACCCAAGTAAATATAAAATGATACTCTTTATGAAGGCCGTATCTTGCCTGTTGCTCACTAAACCCGTCATCTATGGCTCTGTTTTAGACAGTGTTGAGGACTTCTGTTGTCATGGATATGTATCAACATGTCTTCTTGAGTCATTTCAACGTATGATGAGATTTAACACTCAAAAATAAATGTTTTCTGTGTCTTTCTTATTTTTCTTAGGTTTCTTTGTGAGATTTCTTACTTTGCACACATGAATCTTCCATTGCTCATACACATGCAGCAGCTTGGGGACCTTTAGCTAGATTGCCCTCCTTCGGATTGTTACCTTGGAGAGTATACACGCACTACCAAACATTGGTGTGAATGTAATACTTTCTTTCCTTTGCTGTACTTGATCACTGCACTGAATCCATGAGGGTACTGCTGAAATTGCCAATTAGCTCACGCGCTGTTGTGTGGGAGCACACGCTGACCCATAAATCCACACAGACAGCATGGAGCAAAGTAGCATTACCAGCAACAAACAAGACCTTCCATCATTTATCTGAACCCAGCTCATAAATGTCAATAAATAAAGGGCGTACTGTCGGGAACCAGGCCAGAAAACAGTATGCTGAAATATATAGAAGTTCTGAGAAGTAATTATATTCAGTTTTAAAAGATAAAGACCATAAAAAGAAGGGAAATATATGGATAAAATATTATCAGTGTGGCATGTTAGTGACAAACCTCTTTACTGTTATATACGTCAGCTCACACAGTCATAAAACAAACACTCCCGTCTTCCCATTTGAGCTTTAATATTAAAAACTTTCAGGCCTTAGGTTGCAGAGTAGACTCGCAGCATAACTTTGCTTCTTGTTGAGAAGAGTCTGTTAAATATTTTAGTGCTGCATCGTTAATCTGTGAGAAAAGGCCCCAATATGTCAGAAACACAGCTGACAAATCAGTGGCAGTGGCGGAATTAGGTTGACTTATTGTAAACCTTCCTAAAAATTATATATAATATTTAATTGAACTTTCTTTTTTTTCTGCCTTTGTTTTTACTGAGTGATGAAGTCCATGCTTCTCCACGGGGCCATGGTCCGCGTACAACGTAGGAAAGCTGCACTGCTGTTCTGGGTCTTTACCTGCAGCCTGGTACCACAAGAGGGCGCTAGAGAATCAAGTAGTAAGAAGGCACAAAGCTGTTTAAATAACAGTGGAGAGGACACAAAGGCAAAATCTCTTAAGATGGTAAAACACAAAATCTAGAGGGGTAAAAATTTGGGCAGAATTAAAGTTGTACTGACAGCAAACTCTGTTCTGGTTCAGCTTCTGATTTCCCAACGTAGTCTCCACAGCGGATAGATCCACATGTGATCTGGCACTGGTTTTATACTTCCTGACACAACCCAGGCTTGGGATCAGCACTCATGATCCCCTGAAGGTGGGTTGGTGTTTCCTTGTGGACTATTAAAGTGAATGTGTTAACAGCTACATTTGGAGCCAGGTTAACCAGCAACAGGCCCATTAACAGTTGCTGTTTTACTATAAACAGAGGGGGATAACACAGCAAAAATATTGATATAAACATATAACAATTATATTAAAGAAAAAAGAAAGAAAGACAGAAAAAAAGGAAAACAAAGAGCTTTTCTTAAGAAAAGTGGCCATCATTAAAGATCAAGTCTGAGAGCTACTGGAGCAGCTGAGCTATGGCTCTTTTGCAATCAATTTCTCCCACCGCAACTATTAGCTGTTAAGATTTCATATTTTTGTAGAACACTGCGTATTGCACAAACAAGTGGTGCCACATCACCTGTGAAAACTAATAATACTTTAGGAATAAATTGAACATTTCCATTGTTCTATTTATTTATTTTTTAACTTTTTCAAAGCGATTACAAACAAATAAGAAAGAAGCAGAAGCTTATAGATGGATAAATATGCTAGTAAAAAATAATAATGATAATAATGAAGAAAAGAGAAATGCTGTTAAATTAACTCCTTTTCCTTTGCAAATAACACATGTAGAGAAAAAGGCCAGATAAAAGTCTGCTTTTTTCATGAGTAAGCCATTTATGTCTTAAAAGCAAAGATCATAAAGACAAAGAAAATATACAGACAAAAATAATAATATAAAAATAATTGTACTAGTTTTCCTTTATTGTCTTATCCAAAGTGCCTGCATATATAAGCATTTAACAACAAAACAAGCACTGATCTGAAACCAGCATTAAACCTGGAGGACTGAAAGGCCCAGCACAGAGAGAAGAGAAACAGGGATAGATGGAAGGAAACAGCTGGGGCCAAATCTTTGTTTTCTGTGCAACTTGGACTAAAACTTACAGACATGCAAGTTTAGTACATCAATGTACACATTACATATGTACAATTATGATTCTGTGAAATTACCAAAAGAATCCATGAAATTGTTCCAGTAAGAGTCAATCTAGTAGTATGCTGTGTATCATGCACTATACAAATATATATATATATAAACTGGCATTCATCATCTCTTGAGTCATCATCATGTTCGCCTCTTTTTTAAGATTTGTTAGCTGAGTGCTCTTTTCATTCAGTCGAGGCTCTCAGTCACTTTGTGGCTTGCAGAGGTTTTGGGACATGCCAGCATGGTTCAATAAATGATCAATTATAAACTAAAAACTTGTCATTTTAAATATATGAGGCTCGAAGAGAAGAACGGGGAATTCCTCAGATCAAAGGTGGGACTTACCTGGGAACTTGAGACAAGCAGGTCTCTGAACTTCTATGATGGCATAATCTTCACACACGACGTCTCGGACCAACAAGCTGTAAATATAAACCACTTTCCTCTCTGGATGTTCGGAGTGATGACTGACTTTACAAAAAGCATCATTTTACCAGAAACTGAGAAAACTGTTCACCTTCATTCATCAGAGTGGAAAAAGCATTAAGTCCACTCGTGCAGCATCACTACACTGTTGAATGTTTAAGTCAAACTTTGGGCAATTGGGTTTTATGCTAAAATAAAAACACGAGCAATATATGAGTTTGTTCATCTTCTGGATTCTTTGTTGCTTTATTTGAAGTGCCCTTTGGATGGGATATACATAGAAAATTAAAATAAAAAACAACAACCTCCAAGGCACTAGCTGGAAGGCAACACATGTAATATCAATATTCTTACAGCAAGGTCACATTTAATCTATAAAACTGAAGTTTTTAATTTTTTTTTAAATATTTTATTAAAACATTTAATTTATTATATTAAAAACAGACAAAACAGCAACAAAAATCTTGATTTTTTTAATTACTCAGCGTGTTGGCTTCAATGTTCGACAGTCCTCTCAGCTGCTCCTTGTTGCTCTGCCTTTCTCTTTAAAATACTCATATGGTGCTCTGTTGGATTCAGATGTGGTCGTCTCAGTTTAAACTATTTTCTTCCTATGGTACTTTTGGCAGTGACAATCTTTTTTGAAAATTCTGGAGACTTGGAGTCATCCTGTCAACCAGTAATTTATCTAAAGACATTTATCAAGATATCAAGAAACATTCCCCCAACACTTCATCCAGCCACAGTCCCACCTCCCTGCCTCACTGCTGGGACTGTATTCACTGTGGTGGTCTTGGCCCAGCTTATGCTAAACATGCTGGAACAAATCTAGGGAAAACAAATTCATCCGTCATCTGACTAAGAAATCTGCTCCTAATAAGCGTCAGGCTTCTTCTCATGTTTGTAACAGTTTTGTGCTGGAGAGAGACTTCCTATTCGTTGTGGTGAACGTATGTGAGTCATCTAACACGTGGCTGTGTTTTCAAGAGCTAGCCCGTGCTAGAGAACAGCTACTGTGGTTTGATCTACTTCTTCTGATTATTTATGCATCTGTTCTTTTGCTGATAGACACCCATAAATAAATAAACTGTACGTTCTGATGCTCATGTTAATGGATCCAGGCTAACTGGAGATCTGAGAAGGACTTGTTTTGGTTTCAGTAATCAGATTTTCTGACTTGTCGCTGATCTTTTTGTTGTGGTCAGAAGTTTACATACATCATGGGTATGAACTCTACCAAATCTGCCAAGAAGAGGGGAGAAATTTACAGCTGGAAATGTCAGCTACTAAGGTGTCTGGTTCAGCTGCAGGTCGATAAAGGAAATTTAACCAAATGTATAAATCTGAAAAGCTCTATGTACATTTTTGACATTGTGTGGATTAGTGAAGATCGAAAACAAATTCAAACACAATTCATGTTTGTAAAGTCATTAAAGATGACTCCCCAGAAACTGAACAGTTCAAAGAAATAATTAAAAGCCCCAGATTTCAATGACATTCATGCACATGATGACTCGTGTGTAAGCTTCTGACCACAACTGCGTTTGTTTGTTTTTGTGCTTATGTATATTTTATGTTTTTGTTTTATCTTTATGTGGTGGAAATATTTCACTCGTGAACCGTTTTATATTTCAGCGATATTGCACACGGGTATTCTCACTTCTGTATATGGCAGCTTAGCATGTAAAGTTTTATATTTCAGTCTTTCATTTTTAAGCCCATTATATGAAACAGGCTCGTCATGGTAGCAGTTATTCATCATACGAGAAATGGTGTTCATGACTGATGACAAAACCCTGCACCTTTATAAATCTATATACATTTTCAGTGGTGGGAAAAAAGAGGAAAATTTCCACAGAAGCATTGCTGCATATTCAAATCAACCGTAGAACTTTTTTTCCTTTAAGGTGTTCATATTTTTTTAAATCTTAAGAAAGATGAACTTTTGTGTAGAATAAAGACAAAGCAGATATGTAGGGCCAAGAAAGGAGAAAACATTTTAAGTTAATGTTTAAATAAACTACTCTGTAGTCAGACCCCCCCACCCCCGTATTACATCAGGTGAGGTACAGTCCAATAGCAGATCTGAAATGGCTGCAGCAGTGAAAATGCTGACTGATATGAAGAGCATAAAAACAGTCATGTTGTCTGTATTCACGGTAAGAATCTGGGGGGGAAAACCAAATCTGAGCAGCAGTCAAATTTGTCTGTTCTGATAAATAAGAAAACAAAGCAGCAGTGGTCAACATTGTCAATAATCAGTTTCAGGAATAATGGACAGCAGCATATAATCAATGCCTGAAAGTAGTGATTAACACAGTCATCATTCCACAATGGGCGTAGGATTCAAGCGCCTCCTTTTAAGAAGAGGCACACAAGTCACCTGCTAACACAGGTAATAGGTCCATCTGTTTTCAAGCAAGTTGCATTAACGCACTTTTTGTCCTCTCATTTCTTTTTCACCCTGCTGTAAAAGATCACTACCAACCAAAAACACACAGGGCAAATTACACAGAGTACCACTTAGATATCTCCATGTCCCCTTCACTGTGTGAGAGAGCGAGGATGCTGGACGGGTGAGGGGTGAAGCAAACTGCTGAATGCCTGGAAGTGTGACGGGAGGACAGCGGTTGAGGATGATGAAGAGGACGGCAGGCTAAATTCCACCTGCAGCATGTGGGAAGCACTGGCCCCACCGCTCACTGTGCCACAGTCAGGGCCCTCAGAAAGTAAATGTTCGCCACGCATGTGTAGCTGAAAGAAACAAGAGTTTGGGAGCCCGTGGTTGTCATGGAGGGCCGGAGAGTTCCCGCAGGCCCACTGGGAGGTCTCAGCAAAGAGCTGAGACTGGAGCTGGACTGGAGCTGAAGGACAACAACTATCTGAGCCAGATTCCTGCAGGCCGTCTATGGGCGGGAGAGAGAAAGGACATCCGAACAGCTGCTGAGGACACTCGTCGCCGCACAGCTCTGACAAGCCCATCACCAGCTCGCCATCTGGACAGACGTATAGAAATTCACAGGACGACAGATTAATAAAACCTCCATTACTGTTGTCATATATTCTAGGATGTATGTTTGATGTCTATGGTTACAATGGCATCTGAGGAGTGCTTTTGTGCTCTTCTAGCGTACCTATTTCTACTACAGAGTACCCAGCAAACATTTAAACGGCTGGCGGTCTTTTCTCGAACGATAGTCATAGTTCCAAAATGAAAGCTGAACCGATATCAAGAATGTTACCTTCACATCAGCACCAACTTCCTAACATAAACGAGGTTCTTGTCGAACGTCCTTGTTAGATTTTCAAGCACGAGAAAGTTTGTGTTTAAAAATTCTGTTTTACTGTCAGAATAAAGGAAATAGAAATTAAATTCTCTCAAGAAAAGCATGAGAAGAAAAGAAGAAACCTTAGTGGTGACTCAAACTCGTGACCTCACGCTTTCAGGTCGAGAAAACCGAACTTCATGTTTGAATGAAGCATTCCTGAGTCGACGTCGCAGACAGAGAGGGAATAATTGTCCAATGTGCTAAATTCACCAACAAAAAAATGAAAAGAAATTCAGATTTACGAAACTGAAAACAACTTAAAAGTGTTGTTTATTTAAAACATTTAAAAAGATTCCAGGAGCACGACTCTGTGAGTACGTGACGATGTAAAATCCACGGAAATATTCATGTGGATATCTGCTCACAACCACATATTAGTTGTGAAAAAATAATGAATAAATAATAAAAATGGCTATCATTCCATCTTTGCAATAACTTAATATTCATTTCTCACCGTTTAAGAGACGAGCCGACGTCCCTTTTGTTCTATGCGGAAACAACATCTACATCCATCGCTCTACATCGGCGTCGCACCCCGACCTGTCCTGACCAGGGACGCGACGTCGCAGTTTGAACCATGTTTGCTGGGTAATCTCCTCAAACATCTTCCTCATATGAGGAGATTATGAACTATCTGAAATATCTACACAACTCTGTTTACTGCATGTTTTATACTGTGAATTCTACACATGCTGTGCTGTGTATATCAGCGAGCCACTGCAATAAATGCATTTTTTTTTGCTACACTGATTTTGAAGTTTATTTTAATACAGCAGTCTTATTTTGAAAAGATGTGACGGTATATAAGGGAAAAAACTGTATTTGGAAAAAACAAAGGGAAAAAAGCAAAAAGCAATATTTTAAATAACATCTCCAACATTATTCAGACACTATTTGCAAATGCGCTAATTATTACACAGCCAGAGGAGGCTGTTTACATTAGACCCGTTTCTTTCCTTTCTCATTAAACTTTGTCTATTTATTTGTCTGATTATTTCCCAGTGACCACATTATTTTAGTTTTCTGTACTCATCCTCTTTACCTGCAGGCTGCTCAACCTGCTGTCTGTGGCCTGAGTGGACTGAGGTCATGGCTTTAAGAGAAAACGGGGAGTTCGTCTGCGCCTGGGGCGGCCCTCTTCTTCTGGAGCACCATCAACATGCACAACATGCCCAAGCGCGCACACACAGACACACGCGCAGACGTGCATACATGCGAGCAAAAACACAACACAAAACAAATGTATACCATGAAAATATTGGGGAAAACAAAGGAAGGGAGACATAAAATGTTTCATATGAGACAGGGATAATAAATATGTCAAAATAAACAGGAAGAATATATAAACAAACAGGAAATCAATGGAGCCCATGTATAACATGACTGAAAGATGATTTGACATGTATGTTTCACATGGCATGTAAATGGTTTATGTACAAAAAGATGGGTAAACATACATAGCTTCAGTTTTATCAGACACTGAAACTTTTGTTTATCTACTTTTTCTTTTGTGAAGAAGAAGAAGAAGAAGAAGCTTGTGTCTTTACTTTGAACTTAAGGCCACAGTTAATAACACTTTAGACTGAAGCCTTTGCTTCACTATTATTTGAATATTATTTTAGTTCTCTGTAAGAAAGGACATTTTGTGTGGCAAGAGCTCACCAAAGTAAATATAAAGAGCTTCCATCTGAGCCATCACGTCAGGTGTTTTTATGAGGCGACCTCTGGTTTTTACCTTGTTTGTCCTGGTCCAGGTTCGACTGTGGAGGTAACGGGGACTCCAGCTGCCCTGTGCCCATGGAGCTGTGAGGCAACAACCTTGTGGAACTGTTGTTTCCCTCGAGTTCCACAACCTCCCCATCCTGGTCTCCATCCTCCCTGCAACACACAGCAGAACTACTTCCAGCTCTGATAAATTATGTGTTTGCGACCTACAGAGCTCACAGTTTTCACTCAGACAGTAGTTGTTGTAAAATCTGTTCATATAACTTGGATTAACCAGCTCTTTGCAGACCACCAGCATCTTTAGACGTCCTTTGAGGTGAGAGACTTTAACAGATAGCTCACGAAAACTTTATTTGCTTACAGATCAAGTGAGGTGGAATTTGTCAAAATGCTGTTAAAGTGAAGCAAAAACATGTGGGAATGAAGAATTAGGCCCTTCCAGGTTCCAGTTGTAATAGGTCATCTGGTGTAACCTGATGTAGTTTTAGTGTAGACCTTTTACTTACCTGTACTACATTTTATTCGGTGGACTGGAGAAAGAGCGTAACAATGGTTTAACCTAATAACGCACTAAAAGCGCGCATCAGGTTTTCTAATTTGCAAGTTAGGTCAACAATTTTTATTTATCATGTTCTTAAAAATTCTGCAACATCTAGACCAGTTTAATCTAAAACTGAGCGAGCAAGAGATCATCAATACCATCAGGATCATCAGTAACCCACAGAATATTAAGGAGGCCGTGTCTCATGAAAATACTGCCCAATGGCAGCATGTAAGAATTAAAAAGTAAGAGATTTAGAATTGATCCTTGAGCTACCTGACAGGTCTCACGCTTAGAAAGTGGACCTCTCTGAAGTCCAAAGCCTATCTGGCAATTTTACAGGAAGTGATTCTAGACATGTACCAAAGTGTAAATGAGCACTTCCTTTACCCGAACTCTACCTCTTTATCAAGTGTCATGAAAATGAGCTTCATAGTTTTTGTATGATTCTGTTATGAGACAGAATCACACATACTGTCAGTGCGCCCCAGGGTGGCTGTGGCTACAATGTAGCTGCCATCACCAGTGTGTGAATGTGTGTGTGAATGGGTGGATGACTGGATGTAGTGTAAAGCGCTTTGGGGTCCTTAGGGACTAGTAAAGCGCTATACAAATACAGGCCATTTACCATTTTTACCATTTAGAAAAACAAAATACCAAAATTTTTGCAGGGATCAGAAAAAAACCAAAAATCTTAAAGCTACTTTGAGCTACTCTGGAGAGCATGTTTGATATGGCAGAGTTTGGAAGTACTTCCTGACACATTCCTAAAAGCAGGTTTCCCCTTCAAGGCTGTCTCCTTGTGCAACACTTTAACACTTCAGAACTGCTCTCTGTAAAGTCCCACTCGGATCACTTGCACATGTACATTTGCTGGATTTCTGTAGTCCAAACTGTTTCCATTTAGATTTCATTGTGGAGTACAGGACAAATTCACAAAGAGGTTTGAGTGAATTTGTTGGCCATAATTAAGATGCAAGTGGACAGATGGGAGCAGCGGGGAGCAGTGCAGTGCTCCACAAGGAGACAAACCTGAAATCCGATGGCTGTTCTTGCTTTTTATGTGCCGTTCTTTCTGATTGCACCTTTTATCTAAAAGAGTCTGGTTATCTTCAGATTGGTGTCCCAGCAACACTCACATGCTCCCTGATTGCAGGCTGTACTTCTTGCGGCTCAGCCTGGTAGCCTGCTGAGTAAAGTACTTGTGACGCTCAGACTTCTTCCACATGTAGTAATACTCCACACACTCGCCCACTGAGCGTGTTCGTACCTGTGGATAAGAAGAGGTTGTTTTTGCATTAGCGGAAAATAGTCAACACTTTAAAATCAGCATATCAGGTAGCAGGTCATCCTCTGGGTGCTCACCTTATTTGCCTGAATGAGGTGGAAGTTTTTCCCATAAACTCGATACCCATGCTCAAAGTTCCTGCACTCCTCCTCGCTCCAGGAGCAGAGCTCTTCTAAAGACAGCGGACATCAAAAATAAGTTTATAAAACTACATAATAATTTTACATTTTTACATAATTGTAATTACAATCACATAAACTAAATAGAACAGAAAAACTGAAATGAAAAGTGACACTCTTAATATCATAATCTGTTAATTTTGCTTTCCTGTTTCTAGCATAATAAAACTGGTCTTAAACTGGAGGCTCATTTCTGATTTGAAGGTCATGAGGTCACATCAGTGAGTTATTCCTTCTCTGCAGTGATGAAGTTGGCAGCTATAGTTCCACCGAAATGGTAATGAAACGTCATACTTTGCACCGGAAAAGAATTACACTGGCCTTGGGTTGTTGAATAAGCCTGCATTTCTCTCTTTTATTAAGAATACCACAGATTTTTCATTGACACTGGTATGCTGTTACTGCAGATCTAATTCTAACACAGGCTTTATTGAGAAGACCAGGGGAGGCTGACTTTCAACGACTGAACTTTTTTCATACTCGCTTTTTTGTCATGGATACTTGAAAATGTTGTGGTAACACAACTATTTACACATCTACAGACCAATCAATTCTTTTCCCTGAAACAATTCGGCTTTAGACCAAAATATTACGCAGAAATAGTAACCTGTTATTTTACTAACACCATTAAGGGCTTTTTTGGTGGCAGTTTTGTGGGGGTGGAATACACACAAACTTTTGAGGGTCTTGTTATTCTTGATCTAAAAAACGCATTTGACACTGCCAATCACAATATACCCAAATGTGCAGTGTGTGATGGATGAACAAGAAAGAAAATTAGTGAAACTATTGAAAAGCAGAATGGGCATTCCCCAAGGACTGCTACTTGTTCCAATGCTTTGCACTCTGTTTATCAGTGATTTGCCTGCAAGCTACCCAGAGGCTGATGATAACATTTTACGTTTTTAATAATAATTTGAGATCCGCAACTCAAATTTGATAAACATGAAACAAATTCAAAGACTGTTAAGACCAATCTGAGTGTTTTCAATCTTATTCAACACTAGATGAACTTTGCAGCAGCCCAGCTGTTTATGCATTCTTTCATATTTTCGCAATTTGTGATATTTTATGACAGTATGGGTCTAAGTATCACCATCTACAACTAAGCACCTTCTATCTTTTTATAAACAGACTCTAAATAATGAATTTAAAAAAATACAGTCCACTTAGTTTTGATGTTTTCATTCATATCTTTTGTGTTAAAGTAGTTTTTAAATGCAGACTGGCCGCATACCTCTAGATGCATAAGACGGTGACGGCAGTCACTAGGACCATGTTGGACACTGTAAAACACCACATCAAAGATCTAAATTTGGGCAATCAGCATTCGCCATAATGACCTGTCACCTATTCAGGAAGCATGTCCTGTCAGGCCTCCTGAAATCAAATTAATTATAGATATTGAATCTTATTAAAAGTCAAATTTTGGTTAATGGCAAATAAAAATCATTTGTTAATTTCTGTATCGTTTTATGTGCATTTCATTTTATTTATGTTTTTCCCTAGTTATCTCTATTTATTGACTTGTATCTATATTGTATAGTATGGTAACGGTTTTATGTAACTAAATATGATAAAATTTTGTGTGTTGTGGGTATAAATGCCTAATTAGGGTCAATGGTTGAAAATAGGCCACAGTTTCATGTCTGGGAATTCCTCAGTTAAGTTTTGCCCTTGCTAATGGATTAAAAAATTGTATAAAACACTGTAACTGCAAAAACCTGTGACATATGGGTGCAACGATTTTCTGATGACTTTAAATTTACATACTATCAATCATTATTACAAACTTATTCTGGGTTGTTCACAAAGGTGTAAAATGCCCAGTTGGGGAAAGTAGGACAACGGGATAGTTCTTACCACTGAATACTTTCACGTTGAAACGAAATCGCCTCAGTGCTTCTTCGACATTAAAGTTGCATTTCACTAACTCGTACAGTGCCTGAAGGTTTAGAGGAAACACAAAAACTGTCACTCAGTGAAGACTTACCTCTCGGTTTAAGGCAAGTTAAAGAAAACAAGAACTCTTGATTATGGACATAAAGGCTGACCATGTTTAGCCATGGTCCACTATGAGTTCAGGTAATGCAGACTAAACGAGACAAGTAGAAGAAGTCTTCTGAAACGTCTTAAGGAGATTGGGATGAGGTTAGTAATCCAGACATCTGAATAACAAGACAAAAGTAAAATCTTCAAGTACACAGATCTAATAATACATGGACTTCTTTTTATCCAGCTGTTTGTTTCTTTCAGCGTGTACAGAAGGCACATTTATTATATTTTACCACAGCTAAAAACTGGTTAAGATGAGTCATTCGCCTTTGTGTGGGGGGCAGTTGCGACATTGCCATGAAGGAAGAATACTTCGTTACTGAAGAGGGGCGCTTACGTGTTACTACAGACTAGCTTAAACAAACAAAAGTAGCCAGCAGTGTTTGCTGAGATGTACCTGTTCATTGTCTTGGACAATGACCTCCTCGGTTCCTACTGCCTCCTCCTGGCCACGGGGTCTTTGTGCATTCAGCAAGAACTCCTCCACTTCATGCACTGGCAGAACCCCTGGCCTCCACAACAACTGGTCTTCGGTGCTGTAAGCTAGAGGGTGACAGGCACAGTTTCTCAGACTTACAGCGGACACATTAGACACGTTTACTCTGTATCGTGTTCGTGTTTGCACTGTGCTTTACATTATGGACTTGAATACACCTCGGTTTTTCTCAGTGCCTCAGCTCCTCTCTTTCACACTCACTCTCTCTTTCATGCATCAACATGCTTTGAAAGGCAGTCTTGCCGAGCACAATGAGGTTGATGTATTTTTTTGTGGATGTATTTGGGCGGTTTTTTAGAAGCAGTGACAAATTGTCCTCCCACATTCCTTATAGATTTGTTAATAATGTAACAGCAATTTTTAATGAAGGCAGCACGACCACACTCTGCACACTGAGCTGAGTCCAACAGAACTGTGCTGGTCCTACATCTTGAAGCAGGTCACAGCACAGTACACATCAATCACACCAACTCTGGGGAGTCAAAAGTGCTTGGACACAGTACTAAACACGTAATCCCCTCTTCCATTAGTACCATCTGATCAACTCGCCACGGTTCACCACAGTTTTCAGGATTTTCCATTAGATCATTCCTAAAAAAACGTACCAGGCACAAGGTACACATGCTTGGCCGGGGTTCCAAGTGATCTGAGCAGATACTAAAATGTGACATCGTCAGACTGCATGCCACCGATTGGCTGGTCAGCGGTGTCACTTAATGAGTCAAGAGAGTCTCATTCACGAAACTCAACATCGCCATTTTTGAAACCCGGCAACGAGGGAAATGTCTACAGAAAACAACACTGTGGTCCCCGAGTGTGATGAAAAGCCACAGACAGAGCAACAGGTCTACTTCCGAGTCGAGTATATATATGTATATATATATTAGGGGTGCAACGATACTCATATCGATATTGAACCGTTTGATACAGTGCTTTCGGTTCGGTACGCAAATGTATCGAACAATACAAAATTTTTAATTTATTTTATCAACTTTTCTTCTGACGATGCTGTCTGTGTTGAGAGCTCAGTGGATCTGCGTTCGACTACTCCGCCTAGGCTGCACTTTTGAGCGCAGATCCATTACTGAGCGCAGCGCAAGCTAGCAAGACAGAAGCTCGTTGCAACATGGCAAACTTCCTCCCCTACCCTCATTCAGATCTGGCCTTTGGAACTATTTTGGTTTTCATGTGAAGTATGACCCTGAAGGTAAGCGCGTCATGGACAAAAGTAAAACAGTATGTCGGATGTGCCACGCAATGCTCAATTACATGGGTGGGAACTAGTGTGTTAGCGCAGTTTTCTCGTTAACGTGTTGACGCTGGACGGCAGCACGTTAACGGAGATTTGCCGTGTTGTGGCGTTAACGTCATTTCAGATTAACGCTGACAGCACTAGTGGGAACACAACGAATATGACTGCACATTTACTCCGACATCATCCTCGTGCAAAGACAAGTGGAAGCAGACAAAAACAACAAGCACGCATGCTACAAACTTTACCCGAGTCATTTAGACAGCCGTTAGCACAGGATTCTCCTTATGGGGACCTGATATGTTTAATATGCTGCTGAGAATATAGCCCAGAAGAAGCGTATAGTATAGCTTTTATTTTGGAAAGAGCCATTTCTCTGTAATAAACTCTCTTTTCCAAAGATTAGTGATTTCTCGATCAGATAGATTTATTTTTTTTATTACTTTGTTGTTTCAGCAACATTAAATTTAAAAACTGTACGTTTGAGTTAAAATATATATTTATAATTTTAATAAATGACAAATTAAAAAGGCATGAACATTTTTTTGTATCGAAAAAATATCGAACCGTGACACCAAAGTATCGAACCAAACCGTGAATTTTGTGTATCGTTGCACCCCTAATATATATATGTGTGTATATATATCAGAACAACTGTCAAAAATGACAATTTCAGTTGCTTACCTCTCTCCTGGTAGGTGTACGGGCTGATTGGAGGGATTTTTGCCTGATACATGGAGCCAACCATGATCTCCTAAACAGGAAATCCAAACATGAATAGTCATAATTGTGAAACGTGTGATCATGCCTATAAAAGCTGAAATTTTATTTTAAAATGTACACATGTTAGTGTTCTTTGTGTCGACCTACAACCATGAGAAACACAGGCCTGTCCAAAACAAGCTGTTACATTTAGAAAGCTGAGCCACTGTGGTTTTAGAACTTGGGAGATTTTTTTCCTATTAACCATTTCTCTGGCTTATATGAATTTGAATTTTCTTAAGTAGAGCATTTTTGGCCAGCCCATTAAAAGCATCGTGGTTCTGTTGAAATTAGGTCTCAGCTCAGTAGCCTAACTTTGAATTATAATTAGTGCCAGAGCAGGAAAAAGTGTCATGTTTATATAAATGTAACCAAAGCCTAGTGTATATTCAGCCTTTGATTGCACTGATCAAAAGAACCATTACCAAAGGGTTGATAACCCATATTTTATTGCTGCCTAACTGTCTTGCTATTGGCATTTTATCTGATTTGCTTTCCCATAAAGACAAGTTGCAACGTAATGTGTCTCCCTTAAACTTAAAGTCTTAGTCAAAATAAGATTACTATGCTCAGTAACCCACCTTTTGCTCTTCATTGGATGGAATAGAGACATCATCAGAGTCTTCATCTGATGAACTGATCAATGTGTCTTTGTCTCCACCTAAAACACATGAAATATTAGAGAAAGATCAGGAGAACATTCAAATAACGCCACAAGATTTTCCATGCCATCTTAAAAGCCAAATCTTTCTGCTGATTAAGAAAGGGAATCTTAAGCATATTTAAAACCACAATTCTTTATAGTCATGATAAAAAATAAAATGACTATACACTGCATCTAACTCAGTATGAACCACAATTCAGTATAAAGCAGAATATGCACAACATCAATGAGCAAAGTGGCACCTCCTCTTTTTAACCTGTTCAGTGTGTTCAGTCTGTGCACCATGAACAACACTAAAGCTGCATACCTGCTGTACATTTGGTTTTCATGTTTTATAGAGTCAGCACCTTTCACATAGAATCACTATCTGGATATGACTGTTTCAATATATTAAAACTCCTGTAGATTGAAATATCTCTCTGCCTTTGATTTAATGGTGTCATATGAAGAGTGACACATATATGCTATCAGACAGGAACATCTCATAACAACTTCCACAGAACTGTATAAAATCAATGCTTATTATGAGTGCATTTCCCTAGGATCACAAACCCTGACAGGTTGTATTATTTGAAATGTCATCAAAGCACCAGAAATTCGATTCGATTCAATTTCAAACTGCGAACCTTTCTTTAGCTCAGAAAATTTCAGCGAGTTTTAGTGTTATATGAAAATGTGTTAATGCGTGTCTCCCTGGGTGTTACCTTGGATGCGGCGAAGCAGATCCGAGGTGTTTGAGGTGACTGAGGGGGTGAGATCGTCGGCTAATGATTCTTCCTGCTCCCCAGGGAAGAGATCCTCAGTTATCTGATCCTAAACCAAACATATAATAAGACAAAAAAATAAAAACAAAAGACAGAACAGTAAAAATAGAAAAACAGAGTTAGCATATTCATTAGATGTACAATCATTCAATTTGATATTTTTGACTGATTCTCAAAAGTTCTCTGACCAATTCGACCAATCAAAATCTGTTTTGATGAATAAATGAAAGATGAATGAGGCCACGGGTGTGTTCTGTGCACCTCAGGTTGTATACCTTGTCCAGTGTCATGTCTGGCAAACTGGCAGCCATGTGACAGGTCTCCTTCTCTGGATCTGATACTGTATAGCCATAGAAAGCCAACAGCTCCTCCAAGGGAAGCTCACTGGCCTACAAATAAGGCACAGAGGGAGGCAGTGACAGGTGGAGGGGAGGTGATGGGGTATAAGAGGGAAAGAAACCACAGAAATGTATAAATAACACCCACATTTCTTGAAAATCATCTACATGTCTGTCAGTTTAGCTATCTCAAGCACACTTGACACTTTTCCCTGGTCTGTCCAAATAATGCCATCAGACTGATTGAGCAGTCTCCTTGTAAGATGCCTAAAACACCCCCAGAGTGTACTCAGTTTACTCAAAGTAATTGAACTGTTCTGTAAAAATGTCAGAGTCAACATCTGCACGTCCCATGTCATTTCCTGAACACGGTGTTCAGAATTTCAGCATTTTTAAAGGTAAAAATGAATATTTCTTTACTTTACATGTTATGACAACAGACGTAGAGATTATGAGAAAAGTAAATGGTTGCGTTGATTATTTAAATCATCTTCTTCTTTGACTGCTCCCTTTAGGAGTCGCCACAGTGGATGATCTGCCTCCATCGCACCCTATCCCTAGCATCCTCCTCTGTCACACCAACCCTCTGCATGTCTTCCTTCACTGCATCTATGAATCTTCCTATTTTCCTGCTGCCTGCCTTTCTCTCCTCTGCACATGTCAAAACATCTCAGCTTCCCTCTAACTTTTTTCTCCAAACTGCTCGACCTGAATTGTCCCTCTGATGTACTCATTCCTAACTCCACCACCTTATTGCCATCTTATAAACCTTTCTTTTCACTCTTCCTGCTATACTTCTGTCACAAATCACCCCTGACACTCCTCTCCACCCACTCCACCCTGCCTGCGCTCTCTTCTACACCTCTCTTGTGCACTGTCTGTTGCTTTGGATGGTTGATGTCAGGTACTGAAACTCATCAACTTCAACTTCATATTTACTCCTCTGTTAAACTACAATTTAAAATAATTCTGTTGAAATGTTATATTGAAGGCAAATAATGCCCATAAAAAGGGGGGTTTATTAAGAGTTATCGATGCTGCTGGTTAGAGTAATTATTAAAATTCACATTCACTTGCAGTATGTTGATAGATTTTGGTCCTCAGACTGTTTTTCATTTTTGTCAAAAAACGCTGCTGTTAAAATTTCTATGAACTAGTAACTGAATTATTTCAAAAGCAAATGTTACATGACTTTAGAGTAACAAAACTGTACTGAACAATAATAGTCGATGCCATTACTGTCAGTGATGTAGTACACCCTGCAACTATAAGGTTCCCATAATCACAGGAAGCTATTTTGCTGAATATTTTTGTGTTTATCACACATATAAACATGGCAGAACGTGATCATACAGTGTGGGATGGTGTCGCCATCTTCATCGAGCGAGGACTCTTCTCCTCCTCCAACTCCTCTAAGACCCGTAAAGACTTCTGCTTCTCCAGATGAGGGCCTTCATTGCTGTATCTCCTCCACTCTCCACTAGGCCACAAGCTCTGCATTCATGTTTAGATGCTTATCACCCACCTACAAACATGCACATAGATAAAGACAGTATGTCTGTTATGTTGCATTCAAACTCATGTAAAATAGCACAGTACATTAAAATGGTGCCGTGGCACTCGCACAAATGAACACATGAACAACACAGGATCAAATAGTGGCTGATCCTGGCTCATCCCATTACAGGTCAGCTGACTCCTCACTTTTCAAGGGCTCTTCTTTCAACTTATGAGACCTTCTGCTATCCAGACTTAGGTGTTAAACTTAATAACAGATTGATCATAGCACTTGTGGGAAGTTTAAGCGCAATGTAATGTAACTTTAAAGATATTTAAATGTCCAAGAGCTCATTGTGAATTGTCACCACAGGATGGTCGGTTTTGCTGTGATACTACATTAACAAAAAAAGCTTCACGGTGGTTTTCCTGATTCATCGACACGATTCCAGGCTCGGCTTTGGTCTGAACTAATCAGATACAATGTACGTACAGGATGAAGGCCACATAAAGAGTTTATAACCATAGTGGGAAACTTTGGGTAACACGCTTACAGCAGTAACCGTACAAGAATCTCGCCCAAACCTACTTCACATGAAGTCCAAGCGCTCTCTAAATTAGATTATAATCTACTTCTCACGACGCCAAAAGTCACCAAAAATCTCCCAACCCGTCGGTCGCTGTCTGACTGACCAGGGGCGCTTTCCTGCGACTTGGTGCTGAACGCCTCTTCCTCTCTCCGGCTCGCTACGAGTGGCAAGAAGGAAATAACTACTTCTCAATATTTCTGAAAGAGACGGTCGGAGTTTACCGCCGCCGAGTCATGACATGTCTCCCAACTTTTTCACTAAACCCACTTCGCCGGCAAGGCACACCTGAAATAGTTCAGCACCCCCGTGTTAGACCCTACCGGGCTCCCTATTGTTTTCTACGGCTTTACTATCAAGGCTGAGGGAATGGCTCTTTAAAGCCAAGAACGCGGAGAGAGGCGATACGCTGGAGAGGTTCTCCATTTCTTCCGCCGCTTCCCAGTTAAATAGCCCCCGTAGCTCTCTTTCAGCGGTCGTTCACCAGCCGGCCAAACCCTCGGCAGTCTTGTGTATCGTACGGAGTGACAGAAGTCTTAAATTCGGCCCAGCTTCTCTAACATTTGGGTCATTACATTTCTCGTTTTCGCTCACTTACCTCCGCCATTCCGTTTCTGCGCAAGCTGACTATTGCCCGGATGTTGTAGGTCTACTCTTCTCTGCTGCTCCGTTTATTGCCGCAACGATTCAGCAACAGCGGCTGCAGTGCAGCGTCGCACACAGTTACAATGACTTTTTTTCAGTAGTTTAGTTCATTTTGTTTAAGTTTACAACTTTTTTTTAAAAAAATCCTTCGTAGTTTTAAGTAATTTTTTTAAATCGCCCCGAACCAACACTTTCGGTATCATCTCTAAAAATGTTGTTTTACTGTAAGTAACAATTCTAAAAATATTACTAGAAAAAGAAAAGGGAAATGTATCGACTGATCAGTTCAATTATTCTTCGCGTTAAAACTTAACATAATAGTGACCCAATTTCTGCTCTTCTGCTATTAAATTAGTAAACAATAGTTTGGCACTGAACGCATCTTTAAGTTAAATGTAAATGCCCCCCTTTACCAACACGTCCACGTGCGGTTGCTGAAAGACACTACGGTTTGTGCTGATTATGCGAGTGGAGGAGGGGACAGGACATGGCCAAAGCAGATAAAGATTGCTTATATGGCTTTGTCCTCAGCCAGTGACTGCTCAAAGTTGTCAGCGATTATAGAAGCATATAATGTAGCTCTACGTGTTGTCACCATATTCTCTGACATGCCTCAACTAAACTTGAATATCAAGCAACGAAGGTGAGAATATTAAAAAAGAAAAAAGAAGCAGTGGGAAAACAAAAAGTATCAACATTTAACTAAGAAGATTAAAAAAAAACTTGTTAAATACCGTTAACTGAAGAATGTCTGCGTAGGATGGCATAGTATTTGCATAAATACTATTCAACGTCTTCAAAGTCTTGCGCCACCTCTTATCTCTTTACATTTTGCTTTCAAGGAGCCAGACTTTCTTGTAATTTTATAAAATGGTTTCTGAAGGTCCTTCAAAATTTTTCTTTGGACATTGGTTGCTTTTTCAATTATTTTTAGTCCAGTTGTACCTGACCATTTCATGAGGAAGCTTTTTCTTGTTCACTTTACCTTTGAATCACCGAAGCAGAGAAAAGCACCTAACTCATGAGACGAACCAGACAGCTTAGCAAAGCCCTCATTTTAAATTGTGTCTTCAGGCACTTTGTTACTAACAGCTGAAACACATATAATCTGTTCCTATTTCTTTAGTTGAATCTGTGTCGAATGCAAAAGATAACACGGGCACAAAATAATATTTCTGGACCATCAGGGTGCTTCCCAAAGAGCTATGAGCCAAAAATTGGTATACCTTGGTATAGAAACTTGGTGCAGTTTGTCTTTTACAACAGCTGGACATGTGGAGAACAAAAGTAGAAGTGGGCTAAACGCTATCTACAGCAGATGAACAGTATCTGGAATTCATGTCCCTAAGAGATATGAAGAAGACCTGACACAGGATCTGAGACATGCATCAGGCCCTTCAGTTGATCCAGAAGCTCATCTTAATGAGGGAAAAAGAGAAAAATTATACCAGAGCTGAACTGAACATCGGTGACAATAGGTCTCACGAAGTGGTGAATACAAATTTGACATTTGTGGTTCAAATTGTTGTCAGTATTTGCAGAGGAGGTCAGGAGAGAGGTACAGCAGTGAGTGTAAAGCATGGTGGAGGCTCTGTCATGGTGCATGGCTGCATTTCAGTCAATGGGGTTGGGGATTTGTCAAAAATTGATGGAATTTTGGACACATAAAAGTAGAGTCAAATTTTAATGCAAGATGGAAAGCATCTGGAAAGCATCTGATTGGCAATGGCTTTGTGACAGGGTTCCCAAACACACGGCCAGTGCAGTAAAAGCACACCTGGATACAAGAAGATACAATGGAGCCCTATAAGTCATGGAAATGAACTCCCCAGAGCCCGTGTGTGGGATCATTTTGACACAGAACAGAACAAAAAGCAGCCAAGATCCAAATAAGAGCTTTGAATGTCTTTCAAGAAGCCCAGAGAACTTTTCTTGAGACTGAACTTGTCACGGTTCTGGATCATTTTGACCCAGCTTTTTCTGTTTCTGTTTTGGTGTTTTTCTAAATTATGATTTGTTTGGGGTTTGAGTTGTGCTGGTTTGATTTTGTATTAAGGGTTATTCTTGGTTTTGTTCTCTTTACGTTATTTCTTGTTCTGGCCTCTAGTTTAAGTCACTGTCTTCTCTGTTTTATGTGTTATATTCTGCCTGTCGAGCTCTCTGTGTCAAGTTTGCGTCTTTGTGATTTGTTTCTTATTTCCTGTTTTATTTTGATAGTCCCAGTCCTATGTCAGTGTATTCAGTTTTACCTGCCCCTGTCTCGTTAGCCCTAATCTCTCCCAGCTATGTCTCCCTCCTGTTTCCCATTCCCTGATTACTCGCCTGTGTATATAAGCCCTGTGTTTGCCTTTGCGCTCTGTCCTGTCGTACTTTCTCCATGCTGTGTGGTTCTCGTGTTCCAGTTCTGAGTTTAGTTTAGTTTTTGTGAGAGTTATTTTCAAGGAGATTTTTCCAGCATTAAAGCTGCGTCTTGAGTTCCAGTCCTGTCTTTGTGAGTCCTGCATGTTGGGTCCCTTTTCCTGCCTGCCTGCCACACAGCCATGATAGAACGACGCGACCAGTACATGGACCCAGCAGAACTCGTCCCATCTGATGAGCTTAAGGAGGATATAATTTATTCAGTGAATAAATTATGTGACCTGTGGCTGAATCATCCAGAGGAGGAGTTTCAGCGTGCTGTAACCTACCGGCTACAGCGACTGGTTTCCGGTCTCCCCTGGCTTTTGGACTCTCTTCACCCACTCATACAGGAGATTTTCCTTAATGAGCTTCATCTGCATTCCCCTGCTGCTACCACTTACTCACCCAGCTCGGAGAAGGATGTGCTGCCCGGCCTGCCGGATTTGGAGTTGCCCGGCTCACCGGAACCATCACCGAGGAGGAAGTGACGGCTGCGCCACCAGAGCGTCACCCCTCAGCCAGATTTCGCGATATCACTCACAGGCTGTGGTGAGTGAAAAAGACAATTTTTCTGTTGCTTTGGACAATGGGACTATTTATTCTGGGGCTATGTTTTTTGGATCAGCTGCCCAGCCTGAAGCGCGTTCAGCTGCTCAGCTGTCCCCAGTTCAGTCTTCAATTCTGTCAGCCACTCAGTCATCATCATCTCTATGCAGGGAGGAAATCTCATTCCCACCCTGGGTGTTTCTCATAACTTAGCTGCTTTAGGTACATTTATTTACTCCAGGGCCTCCCCAGAGGCTAGATCTCAGTCCCCAGCTGATTCTGGAACCCTGAAGATTAAGCAGCCACCTGAGAACTGCACCGTGTCAGCGCTGCCAGAACAAAGCCACTGTCCTGTGCAGCTCCAACCAGCTTCGTTCTTGCCAGAGGTCTCCATGCCTGTTGGTCTCCGTGCCTGCTGGTCCTGTCTCGTCCCTGCCAGAGGTCTCCGTGCCTGCTGGCCCTGAGCCTGTCTCCGCTGGAGGGTTCGGGGGGCCCGTTCAGCTGCCTGTCTCCGCTGGAGGGTACGAGGAGCCGCTTCAGCCATCTCTGCTGAGGGGCCCGAGGAGCCGCTTCAGCCGTCCGTCATTGATGAAGGGTCGGAGGACTCGCTTCAGCACCTTGTGGCCGCTGACGGCTCTGAAACCAATCTGCCACCTCCTGCGTCGCCTGCAGTGCCTTCATCAGGGGCTTCCACGCCATCGCCTGCAGCGCCACCACCCGCAGCTGCCACGCTGCCGTCTGGATACGCAGCTGCCACGCTGCCGTCTGGATACGCAGCTGCCACGCTGCCGTCTGGATACGCAGCTGCCACGCTGCCGTCTGGATACGCAGCTGCCACGCTGCCGTCTGGATACGCAGCTGCCACGCTGCCGTCTGGATACGCAGCTGCCACGCTGCCGTCTGGTCCCGCCTCGTCTGGTCCAGCTCACCTCTGCAAGCCACTTTCCAGGCCTCTAGCTGGACATCATCGCTGTTGAGGGCAACCCCCTGAACAAGGTCGCTGCCGCCACTGCCTCCCGCGTGGTCTGCCTCCGGACCTGCTCTGTCGACGCTGCTGCCGTTAGCGCGGTTGGCCACATGAACTGCTTTGTCGCCACCACTGCCTTCCCTGTGGTCGGCCTCTAGACCCGTTTTGTCTCTGTCACTGGCCTCCGGGTCGGCCACCTGAACTGCTCGGACTCCTGTGCTGTCAGCCCCCGGGTCGGCCTCCTGAGCAGTCTCAGTCGACTCTAGTTTGGTTAAGCTCCTGGACCCCCTACCACCCACTCTTCTTTGTTTTATGTGTTATATTCTGCCTGTTGAGCTCTCAGTGTCAAGTTTGCGTCTTTGTGATTTGTTTCTTATTTCCTGTTTTATTTTGATAGTCCCAGTCCTATGTCAGTGTATTCAGTTTTACCTGCCCCCGTCTCGTTAGCCCTAATCGCTCCCAGCTGTGTCTCCCTCCTGTTTCCCATTCCCTGATTACTCGCCTGTGTATATAAGCCCTGTGTTTGCCTTTGCGCTCTGTCCTGTCGTACTTTCTCCATGCTGTGTGTTTGTCGTGTTCCAGTCAGGTCCTCAGGTCCTCTGTTCCGAGTTTTGTGTTTTTGTGAGAGTTATTTTCAAGGAGATTTTTTCCAGCATTAAAGCTGCGTTTGAGTTCCAGTCCTGTCTTTGTGAGTCCTGCATGTTGGGTCCCTTTTCCTGCCTGCCTGCCACACAGCCATGACAGAACTACAGTCTAGTAATAGTAAAGATATTATATTACCCTACATTTGTTTTTACATGGTTCAATATGTCTGTCATCTTGTTAATTATGTCATGTTGTTGTTGTTTTACATATTGAAGAGATTGAACATGAGCTTTGGACATAAATCAACATGTGTACAAACAGTAGGCTATAAGAGACAGTGATAAACTCCCTCACTGAGAGTGGGGTCATACAAGCAATGACACTCATTCCCTTTGTTTCTTTGGGACTCATTAACTGAGAGTTTATGCTTTATGTGAGAAGGTGAAAGTTGTCCACAAAACAAGCAAGTGAATGTTTGTGTAAGGTAAGACTTTGTTGGTGCTAAAAGTTGTATGAAAGTGTAAACGTTACAAACAC